ATATGGTAGTATGTTGTGCTCAACTAGAGAGTTTAATGCAGATGAAGATATGATGCATTTGAAGACATTTTGTTAAAATTAACAAAACTAAATGAACTAGGAAAATATAAGTATAGATATGGAAAGATGTGTTGGCTGCTAAGGTAGGAAAAAGACATGAGAGTGGAGATTCATTCATTTTAAGTGCATTTATTGTGTTCTTTGTAATAGGCTTTAGAGAGTAAAATTCACAGTTCCTAACTGAAAGGATGCAAAAGTGAAAGATAAACAGCGCTGGTGGTAGCCCTGGCTGTGGTATGGAAAGGTCAAGGTCATGACAGAACCCAGTGTTCAGAGCTTTATTAGGAGGGGAAGCGGTGAGAGAGAGGGTCCAGGCCTGGAGAGAGAGAAAGATGATGGTGGGGGAGGGACCAGAGCAGAGCAGGGAGCAGAGGGAGCATGGTGTCAGCATCTGACTTTTAAGGTGCGTACATAGTTGCCAGTGCCCACTGATGACGTAAGACACAAGACCCTGAGCTGCACATGTGCAGGAGTGAGGGCAGAAATTTCACAAGGAAAATAAATAGGTAGTGACAGAGATGGACCCAGGTTGCTTTTGACCCATTTAGGTGATTTCCAACCATGTGTAAGGGTAGAGAGAATAGTATCTAAGGAAATGTCTCAGAAGACACAAAACCTAAGCTATGTCTTAAAAGATAAGTAAAGTTTAGCCTAACTAAAGGTCACAGGTAGGAAGAGTAGTGTATGACTTTCCTCCAAGCCAACCAACTGCCATCTTGGAGCATTCAGCTGTGCCCCCTTGCAAACGACCCCAGCTGGGCTTGTTTATAGTTCTCCCCCATCCATCCAACTGCTCCCTAAGGACTGTCAACTCAGCACATTCCCTGGGGGAGGGGCCAGAATACACAAACATACCAGAGAAGACTAGAGCAGGGCCTCCATCTATGCAGCTATTAGGGAAGCATTACATCCCTGCTGGGTAAAGCTTTCTAGGTGTGTCTCTCTGCCGGAGGAGTGACCCCATCCCTGTAAGTAACTCCTTATCCGTTCTTCATAAGGTTGACTAAAAAACACTTTCATTCCCCAGAGTGAAGTGTGATGGGATCATGCCTCTGTTTGTTGTTAGTAATTTAGGACAAGGGGTAGCTATTGCTTATGTTTCTCCTGGGAAGGAATCTTAACAATTCATATTCAAAGGCTAAAGTGCATGGGACATGTGTAAATATTGTATGCACCCAGTTCAGGAATGGGGGGCATGGCTGTAAAAGATAGCAAAGTGAATAACAAGATTAAGGCCAGCTAGAGTGTGATATGCTTAGAGAAGCTCATTCACTTAAGAAAAAAAGCAGGAATGATTGAAGGATCATCACTAGGGGAAGAACATCTCAAGATTCACTGTGACAGCTAACACTGGTAACACTGGATCAGGGTGTCCAAACTTTTGACATTGTAAAATCAATGTCATCTACAAATGAATTGACTATATTAATAGTTATCCTGGGAAATGTGTGGCCCACAGGCTGCATAGACATACCTGCCAAAGAATGGTGACTTGAAAATAGCAACTCCCGAAAGCAAGGAAGTGAGAAAGGAAAACTGCTAAGAAATAGCCATACACACCGGGTGGTGGTGGCGCACGCCTTTAATCCCAGCACTCGGGAGGCAGAGGCAGGTGGATCTCTGAGTTCGAGGCCAGCCTCGTCTCCAGAGTGAGTTCCAGGACAGCCAGGGCTACACAGAGAAACCCTGTCTTGAAAAAAATAATAAGCCGGGTGGTGGTGGCGCACGCCTTTAATCCCAGCACTCGGGAGGCAGAGGCAGGTGGACCTCTGAGTTCGAGGCCAGCCTGGGCTACAGAGTGAGTTCCAGGAAGGGCACTAAAGCTACATAGAGAAACCCTGTCTCGAAAAAAAAAGAAAAGAAATAGCCATACACCTTGTAGCAATCAAAAAAGGACAGAGTGGGGAGTGTTTGCAATAAGTACAGTCTTCAAAATGCAGGGAAGCCCAAAAAGCCCTGCTGTTGGCCCTCAGTACAGTTACTAGAGCACGTGGTACAGAGAGTGGGTAAGATAGACTGTAAAGAACTTTGCCTGCCCTGCACAGGGTTTCAGATGATCTCACTAACATTTTAAACACTACTTTTTATAATACTGAGTAATGTCATTAGAAGTATACTTTAGAAAGTTAATAGTTAACATTGAAGTTCTATCTCCCTTGTGAACATAACAAACAGTAAGACATTTAATCTCAAATTTACACTAACAGAAAATATCATTTCCATTCTGTTGATGAGAAAAGTCATTTACAGAGAAAACTTGCCACCGGGCCGCACTCATGTCCCATACCTGCTAAATGATAGCAGGCAGATATAGGCACTCTTACCTCCCCTTACTTCCCTTGATATTACCCAACCAGGGATCTCAGCAGAATGGCAAGTAGCATTTCTAAAGACATAACTGTCTAGATGTACTGAATCAGAATGCCTTTTGGAGAGTAATGCACAGCAAAAGCTTCACAACTGACTTACTATATTTTTTTATTGATTTATTTTATCGACATGAGTGATTTTCCTTCATGTATGTCTGTGCACCACGTGCATGTCTACAGATGGTTGTGAGCCATCATGTGGGTGCTTGGTCCTCTGCAAGAACAGCCAAGTACTCTTTTTTTTTTTTTTAGGATTTTTTTAATTTAATTTTATTTTATTTTACAATACAATTCAGTTCTACATATCAGCCACGGATTCCTTTGTTCTCCCCCCTCCCGCCCCCCTCCCTTTCCCCCCAGCCTCCCCCTTATTCCCACCTCCTCTAGGGCAAAGCCTCCCCCTAGGACTGAGATCAACCTGGTAGACTCAGTCCAGGCAGGTCCAGTCCCCTCCTCCCAGGCCGAGCCAAGCGACCCTGTATAAGCCCCAGGTTTCAAACAGCCAACTCATGCAATGAGCACAGGACCCGGTCCCGCTGCCTGGATGCCTCCCAAACAGATCAAGCCAGTCGACTGTCTCACCCATTCAGAGGGCCTGATCCAGTTGGGGGCCCCTCAGCCATTGGTTCATAGTTCATGTGTTTCCATTTGTTTGGCTATTTGTCCCTGTGCTTTATTCAACCTTGATCTCAACAATTCTCGCTCATATAAACCCTCCTCTTTCTCGCTAATTGGACTCCCGGAGCTCCACCTGGGGCCTAGCCGTGGATCTCTGCATCCAGTTCCCTCAGTCATTGGATGGGGTTTCTAGCACGACAGTTTGGGTGTTTGGCCATCCTATCACCAGAGTAGGTCAGTTCGGGCTGTCTCTCGACCATTACCAGCAGTCTATTGTGGGGGGTATCTTTGTGGATTTCTGTGGGCCTCTCTAGCACTTTGCTTCTTCCTATTCTCATGTGGTCTTCATTTACCATGGTCTCCTATTCCTTATTCTCCCTCTCTGGTGTTGATCCAGCTGGGATCTCCCGCTCCCCCAAGCTCTCTTTCCCTCGACCCTCGCCCTTCATTACCCCCACTCATGTCCAGATTGTTCATGTAGATCTCATCCATTTCTCCATCATTGTTGAGTACTGCAGGGAGCACACATAGGAACTCATGGCTGTAGTTCAGTCAAAGTGGTAAGGACCACACTGAAGTAACAAGAAGGAAGAAGAGTAAACATTTAGAAATTTAAGAAATATGGTTGGCTTAATAAATTTTAAACAATGAGAAAGAAAGTTGAATCCAAGGATTACTAAATTGAGTATGTTCTTAACAATTGGTCCCTGCCGAGGCAGAAAGAAGGTAAGCTTGCAAGCATGACCAGAATAAATGAGTGTCCTTTGTGAACTTGAGGATCACTAAGTCATTCAGTTAAAGATGTTTTAGCAAGATAAAGACAGGCTTTTGGAGTGCTACTCATGTTAGTCTTTCCTCACTGCTATTTTTGAAGTCCTTAAATCTCCAAGAGTTCCCATTTTACAAAGGTTAATGTGTGTGATGCAGCCTTACATAACCTGCACCCACCCTGTTGATCTCTCAGGTTATACATGTTATGTGCCTGTGAAACAAACCATGACCACTGGGGTGTTAGTAGGCATTATGAGCAAGCATCCTTTCTTCCAGCCATTTAGGTACCAGGCTTTTTCTCTTAGGCCACCCACCAGCTCCCAAATCATGACACGGAGACTTATTGTTAGTTTTGATTGTTCAGCCTAACTTAGGCTCGTTTCTGGCTAGCTCTTTTAACTTAAGTTAACCTGTTTCTCTTTATCTACCTTTTGCCTTTTATCTTACCTTTTTACCTTCTTTCTGTATATCTTACTTTCACTGCTTCTCATGTCTGCTGGCTTCTTGCTCCGGTGTGTCTCTCTCTTTCTTTCCTCTCTTCTTCTCTCCTCCCCTCTCAAGCCTAGATTTCTCCTATTTATTCTCTCTCCCTGCCAGCCCCACTATCCTTTTTCCTGCCTAGCTATTGGCTGTTCTGCTTTTTATCAGACCAGTCAGATGTCCTAGGCAGGCAAGGTGAAACAGATGCAACAATTTGTTTACATAATTAACCACACATCCTTACATCGTTAAACAAATGCAGCATAAACAAAAGTAGTACACCTTTACACAGTAGTTAAAGTAATATTCCGCAGCATAACAAATGTAACACATCTTTGCCTAGTTAAAATAATATTCGACAACAATGGGTAGCTCAGAATGTGCTGGCTAGAGTCTAGACAGGAAACAATGAAGCCAGACTAAAGAAGTCAGCAGAAAGGAAGTACAAGAAAGACATCAGGAGGTAAAACTACAGTGTTAAAGGTATAGCAATGTACTGCTTTCCTCTGCGCTAGGAGCCTTGCCTAGGAAGTGAGGCAAGTGAGGGTAGAGGAGCTTGCTAGGCTGAGTGGATTTCATTGAACATACAGTTATGGAGACGGGGGTGGTAATTATTTAAGAAGTGTGTGAAGGATTTCAGAACTGTTGTCTCTGCATAACTGCAAGCATCTATTCTCTTTCATCTTTACTTCTCTATCCTAGGTCCCTTGGGAGGAGCCTCTTGAGGTACCCAGTCTGAAATGCATTAATACCAATGTGAGGCCTAAATGGTGTGATAACACCCAAGAGCCAGGAAATGGCCACAGCCTTGGAACCAGAGGACCAAGATCTTTGGGAAGAGGAGGGAGTCATGATGGTGAAACTGGAGGACGATTTCCCCTGCGGGCCAGAGTCTGCCTTGCAGGGCGATGACCCTGTGCTGGAGACCTCTCACCAGAACTTCCGACGGTTCCGCTACCAGGAAGCATCCAGCCCTCGAGAAGCCCTCAGCAGACTTCGAGAGCTTTGTCATCAATGGCTGAGGCCAGAGAGGAGGACCAAGGAGCAGATCCTGGAGCTGCTCGTGCTGGAGCAGTTCCTCACTGTCCTGCCTGGAGAACTGCAGAGCTGGGTGCGTGGCCAGCGGCCCGAGAGTGGCGAGGAGGCAGTGACGCTGGTGGAGGGTTTGCAGAAACGACCCAGGAGACCAAGGCGGTGGGTGAGGAGGGGGAGTCCTGATCTGTGTGATGTGGAGGGGGCCTGTTTCCGGAAAGACTGGATATGGGGAGAGTATGAGGACCCCATAAATTATCTTTGGGTTATGTCTAGATCCATGAGCCCCAACAGGGCAGGGATGGATGGATGTATGAGTGTGACTTTCTTGGGTTTGAATCACCTGCCTGTGCCACCTGAAGGTTGGGGTTTTTAGATTCTTTGGATGTGGAACCTTGGGGTCCTCAGAAAGCAACTATTAGACTTCCTCAAAGTTCACCTAGACTCTTAATCCCAAGACCCCTCTCCTAGGATGGTAATCTGGGGGAGCAAACAGTAATAGAAGACCTGAAAGAAGGAAGGGCGGAAACCTCAGGGTCCCAGATGACTGAAATAAAAGTAGAATAGTACTAGTGTGTCCTCTGCCTTGTCTTTGCAAAGATAACGGGTTCTTTATATACCTGTGCAACTTGAGTTTCCCTTCCTCATCCGATTCCCTCTGGGGGTGTTCCTCCTAAAATAACCCCTGATGACAACCAAGAATTTCCTCCTGACTCCATGGTGACTGGAAGTTAAAATTATTCCCAGGTAACCGTCCATGTTCAGGGCCAAGAAGTCCTGTCGGAGGAGACACTGCACCGAGGGGAGGAGCCGGAGTCTTCCAGTGAGCAACAAGATCCAACACAGACCTTGACCCCTGAGCAGCCCCATGAGGAAGTCCTGCAGAGCACAGATCTGGGGACACCGGAACAGGAGAGCTCACAGCATGAAGGGGAGCACCAGCCTCTGCAGGAAAGTGGTAGGAAGAAGCCTCAGCAGGAAGCAGAGATTTGGGCAAAATGAACTGGAAATGGGGGCGTTCTCCTATACCACACAGGCTGGAAAATTGTAATGGAAAGAAAGCACAGAATCTTGATGTTGGGAGCAGAAAGAACCAGCTCGAACCTGCCTCAATATGGGGCCAAGTCTAAGTAGTGGTATTCCTGAGTGCTCCCAGCATTCCAGTGGGGTTATGGCTAATGGCGGATAGGATAATTCACCTTAGACCGATTTCTTGATTCTCTTAACAGAAGTTAAGGCCACTCTGTTCACTGGAGTAGAGGGTGCTCAGCCTCTTGCACTTACGTTATTGATCTCTGTCTCATTTTTTTTTTCCTTAGAGGTTCCAGTGCCCCAGGATCCAGACCTTCCTGCAGAACAAAGGTCTGGAGACCCAGAGATGGTTGCTCTTCTCACTGCTCTCTCTCAGGTAAATCCTATTCAGAATACATATTTGAAGGTCTGTTGGGTGTTAGCCATATGCTGAACAAATCAAGGATACAAGTATGCATGATTCGACTGTTCGTCTTCAGTTCTGTGGTGTGCCGGATAAGGGAAGAAACTGTGAAATTAAACAGTTGTTTTCAACTCCAGGTTTCATAGTCATCTTACTTGTCAGAGGTGCTAACTAAAGGGACTAAGTGGGATCATTTTGCAGTATTTAGTACAATTTTGAAGTTGGGTGGGTTTTGTTTATCATTTGTAAGAATGGCTAATATGACTGCTGTGATATTTATGAACTATCCCTCTTGATAGCTTCAGATCCTTTCTTGTTCCGAAATTAGGTGGCTGAGAAAAAGGGATAGAATTCACTCCTGGTTTGGAAGTGTAGTCTAGCTGAAGAAAAGAATGCCCTCCTTGTTTTGACTATAGATGCTAATAGATGAGGTCCTTTGGGAAAGATTCCTAGAAAAGATGATTTTTACAGAGACATCCCATTAAAACACCAAACAGGGAGGTGAATGCTTTAAGCTCTGTTTTAAACAATACCCTGAAGAAGAATGTAGTCTGGCCTGAAGAAACACAATGGGTTGGAGAAGCAGAAGCAAGGTCGGTGCTTTCCTCCAGTGCTGAAGGTTCAGAAGCAGCCGCAGTGGGAGGCAGGCTCCCCAAAGGAAATCCTTCTGCCTGTTAGCATTCCCTTTGTCTGTGGATGGACTCTACCCCAAAACACAATAGGCTGCCTGAAGCGTCTCATCCTGATTGGATCCTTGTGTCATTTCAGGGACTGGTCACATTCAAGGATGTGGCTCTGTGCTTCTCACAGGATCAATGGAGTGATCTGGATCCAACACAAAAAGAATTCTATGGAGAATATGTCTTGGAAGAAGATTGTGGAATTGTGGTCTCTCTGTGTAAGGAGTTGCATGTATTTCCAGGGCATTCTAGCCACAAACATCTTTTTCCTATCGGAGTATAGGGAATCAAAGACCCGTGGACTACATGAACTAAAGTCTCACTTATGCATGCCTACCTCACAATGAGATTAAAGATCAGTTAGCTGAAGAAGATGCTCTCCTTCCAGCTGAAAGGAAGAAATAAAGATGCTTGGAAAAAAGGAATGGAAACCATTAATACAGAGAATGCAGTTAGAGTCTTTTGAGCTTTAATATTTAACTTTTGAAGTAAACATGAGTTTTGAAGCAGTAAAAAGAAAGGTAATCTGCTTTCCTCAACAAGAGGGAAGGAGCAAGGCTCACAGTGCATATCTAGTTACTGAGACTCAGGTGAAGGCACAAGAAATGTATGAGATGGGCAGTACTTAGAGGTGCCAAGCTAAAGACTAGTAATATCTGACCATTTAACTTACGTGTTTGCTCTGCCACCTACCAGTCCATAACGGTCTGCTCTTAACTCAGGAAAATATTGAGCCAATCGTGATGTCCTTTTTTCCCATCTCTTGAGCAGCATTTCCAATTCCCAGACTAGATGATACCTCTCAGATTAGAGAAGAAGAGCCTCAGTTCCCAGATGTCCATGAATCTCAAGAGCCTGCAGAGCCAGAAATCCTGAGTTTTACCTATACAGGTGAGGAGTAGCAGACGGATCTGACCACCACATTGGACAGTTCCCTCTAAGCAGTACACCTCTTTCCTCCAAGGACCTTTCTCATTGGGTCCTTTTTCATTATTTTATCTTTTACTTTTTGTTACAGTCTCATTTTGTAGCCCAGTGGCCATACCCCGTACCCACTTACTGGTTCTTCTAATATGCCATCCATCACTAATGTCTTTCTCTGAAAGTCAGACCCTTCTGCCATTAGCCTCTTCTGTACTCTCTCTGTCATTTGTTAGAAAAGCCATTAAAAATCCGCTCATGATTGGAGGTGGTGTTGTTACTATAGCTTTTCCTTTTCTGTTTCTGCCCCTTGTATAGGAGACGTGAGTGAAGATGAGGAAGAATGTGTTGAGCAAGAAGATACACATAGGTCTGTTGTGGCAGACCCAGAAATTCACCAGACTCCAGATTGGGAAATAGTCTTTGAGGATAATACAAGTGGACTTAATGAAAGAAGATTTGGTACAAATATTTCTCAAGTTAATAGTTCCACAAATATTAGGGAAACTGTTCCTGGCCACTCCCTGACAGGGAGGCAACATACCTGCCCTCTATGTGCAAAAAGCTTCACATGTAATTCTCATCTCATTAGGCACTTGAGAACTCACACAGGGGAAAAGCCCTATAAATGTATGGAGTGTGGGAAAAGTTACACACGGAGCTCACATCTTGCCAGGCACCAGAAAGTCCATAAGACGAACACTCCTCATAAACAGCCTCCAAACCGGAAGAATGTGGGTGCCCCTCTGACCCAGTCTGAGGGAAATACCCGTGTGGAGAAACCATATAGCTGTGATGATTGTGGAAAGCATTTCCGTTGGACTTCAGACCTGGTCAGGCACCAGAGGACACATACAGGAGAAAAACCTTTCTTCTGTACTATTTGTGGGAAAAGCTTCAGTCAGAAATCTGTGTTAACAACACACCAAAGAATCCATGTTGGAGGCAAGCCCTACTCCTGTGGAGACTGTGGAGAGGACTTCAGTGACCACAGACAGTATCTGACACACCGGAAAACACACGCGACTGAGGAGCTCTATTTCTGCAGTCACTGTGGACGCTCCTTCAGCCATAGTGCAGCATTTGCCAAGCACCTGAAAGGCCATGCTTCAGTGAGGAACTGCCGGTGTGATGAATGTGGTAAAAGCTTTAGCAGGAGGGATCACCTCGTCAGACATCAGCGAACACACACTGGAGAAAAGCCTTTTACCTGCACCACCTGTGGGAAAAGCTTCAGCAGAGGATATCATTTAATCAGGCACCAGAGAACCCACACAAGAAAGACCTAGCTATGTGCCATATGTGGAGAACTTTATTCAGCCCTCAGCTGGGCTGGTCTGGGCTCTGTGGTCAACCTTAGAAGACCTTTTCTGAGGCATCTCTTTGACCTGCCCATACCTTATGTCACCTCTTCCAACAACCAAACAAAAGCCCTATCCAGAACTTCTCAAATTTTCTCAGTTGAGGTTTCTCCTTCACTGGCATGCTCCTGCCTCTACCTCATGGGTGTGAAGTAGGAGATTTGGGACTTTACAAAATTTTGTTTATTATATTTTGAGAAACCTAGGCTATTCTGTATCCTGAAGACTACTTACCAGGCTCAACTTCAGTGTGGTCAAGGATAAATACTTAGGTCTGATAAGGGACCAGCCTAAAGGGGTCTGTCCTTGCTGGGCTCAATCCATAAAGCACACAGCCCTACTGAGAGATTGTCACACACTGATGGGCTAGCTGCAGGTTCCTCACGGTCTCACCTCTTCACTGTACCTTTCCTTTGATGCTGGAGACACGGGGGAGAGTGTTAAAAGACAAATCCTTAGGCTGCTTCACAAGGATTTTGGCAAGCTGCTCCCTTCCCCATTGTCAGAATGACACCAAGTGCCATACACTGCTTCAAAAGTGGGCCTAATCAAAAGCCCCCTGGGGTGCACCATCCCCTGTCTAAATCCTCCTGTCGTTAGCTTTTCCACTATTCAGCTCCTGTCACTTTTGTCCCTTATATGCCTACTGCAAGGAAGATGTAGTGCTGGAGTGCTGAAGAATTCAGTAAAGCAGAATTAAGTCATGGGGAAATCCAATCCATTCCCACCTGTGTGTAAGCCTGTCCTCCTTCCTTTGGGTTGTGAGAGGGAATGTGGAGCACTGTGAGCGTAGAAAGGCACCATAACCAGTGCAGAATCACAACTGACTGGGTCACTTCCTTTACAGAAGGGAAACTAGAGAAGATGTAAAACCGCTTTGGAAGATATGAAACAGCTGTTGCCACTGGCCAGGACTATTAGGACTATTGTGACACCAAGTCCTTAGTGTCCCTGCCTCAGTTCTCCAATGTCAGGGAAGATTATGAACCCTAGTACTTTGGACCCTGAGAATTCACCAGAAGTAAAGGGATTTTTATGTGTCTGTGTTATTTGGGTTTTTATATATATATATATATATATAAGTTCATTTTCATGTAACTGTGAACTAAAAAGTAGTATCTCCTGGTAGCCCCAGGGTCTTTGACCTGTTCAAGGTCCCCTGGAGGCTGAAAAACTCTGAACCTTGCGTGTCTGGCCATCTGGAAAGGACTGGGGAGAGATGCTCCAGAAATGGAGTACAGGGTGTGGGATTAAAGCATGAGAAGGCTATGATAGACTTGTGTGCCTGCTTGTTTCTTGTTTATTTCACAAACACGAGGAATATGGTGGATTAGCAACACATCTTCCCAGCCCTAACATCCCAATGGGGAAATTATCTTAAGATGGACTAGTTCAGTTTTAATGCCAGTCAACTGATGTCATGGACATGCATATGAAATAAATGAAGTGATACTTGTAGCCAAGTGTCCCAATGTACAATTTACCTAATCACTTCCTAGAGCTTCAGGTTTCTGATGCCTCTGAAGGCTATTTCTGCTTTAACTAGATTTGGAAGGACAAAGTTGTTTCCCACAATAGTGAGGGCTTGAAGTGGCTAGCATAGCTCTGGGTAGAATGTGTATACAGAGGGTCAAGCCTGGAGTTTGCACAAGAGACTAATATTCTACCATTTTTCAACCACGTATCTAAAGTGTAAGCAGAATTTGTCCTATGAGAAATGTCACTCAAAAGATAGTCTAATACTTTTATATTAGTACTTTCATACTAATCTCTTAAGTAACATAGAATACACTGGAAAAGAAATTGGCTTTTCTCTAATTTGTCTGCTTGATTTTAGTAAGTAAAAAAATCTGTCAAGACAGTTCTCCGGAAGGAACATCTGGAACTGATGTAATTGGGTGAAACAGCATGTCTACTGCTGTAGTCTCTGCAAAGTTTCCTTTGCTGACAGTGGGTCTCTGGTCCCATTTGTAGACTCCTGGAGAGATGCTCAAGCTCCCAAGGCTGAACACAGCCACAGTGGAGCATCAGAGTCAGTGATGGTACCTCAGATGAGGCAACAGCATTTCCACTGACCCTAGGACCGAGCACAAGATGCTCATTGCCAAGGGCCCACTTCTAGAATTAGTGAAGTCCTAGTGTCTTTTGTAAGGATAAATAAGACAGGTTTTTAACAGTACATGGAGAAAGCTATAGTCCACTAAACTAAACAGAATGTCCAGCTTGTTGCAGCTGGGGAATGATGTAAAGATACGACTAGATTAGGAATAACCAATAATCATTCAACCTTACTACCACAAAGTACCAAGAGAGCAAAGAAAATACGCTCCAAATTAGAAACTGATTAATTCATATGAACTGCATGGAAATTTTTGAAAATTGAATTAGCATCAAGTCATTAGAGCCAAAACCTTCATAAAGTCTTACTGCCTCCAGACTCCAAGTCAGGTGATAGATTTAATAAAATGTGTATTATTTCCACTATCTGAAAAAACACAAATGTGCCTAGTGATTCTTCTGAAGCCGGCAGAGATCATCTGTTCCAGACCTTTCGGCTAGGAAAGAGCAGCCCCTAGATTACCCCACGGCATGAGAAAGCGAGATATTTCTTAGGTGCATTTAGAGAATGTTTTCATTAACCAGGCTTCCAGACGTGACAATCCAAATGAGAGTTAATGGGGCCCCGTGATGGCTTTGTGGGACGAAAGCAAGGCAGAAATAGCAACTGATGGCCTGCTTTGCAGGTTAATAATTCCACAGCCTTCCACACCAATATTATATGTTTAGCACATAAACATACTAAACAGTTTCATTGTGACATTGTCATTCATGAATGTGATATATTTTGACCATATTGATGTGTATTACCTTTTCTTATTCCCTCCCACTCCTGCTAATCCTTGGCTCTTCTCAGCCCCCATTTTACTTTCGTGTCTTGGAGGGGCTACCCAGTGAGTTTCATCAGTGTGGCTTGTAGGAACACGAGTGTCTTACCAGTGGCTGTACCACCGAAGGAAGTGTCTCTGCCCCGTCAGCCATTAACTGTAGATAAACAGAAAGGGATGGGAGCCCATGATTCGCTCCCCCATTCCGTGACAAAGTATTGAATGCTTGTATCACCAAGCTTGTGAACATAACCACATGCTGTGAGTTTAAGAGTGGAGTGCAACAGGCATTCATGCCAGAAGGTCAGTTTTCCTGACTGACCTTCCTTGCCTGTCCTTGGTATATAGACTTATTCTGCCCTTTGGTGATGCCCTGAGCCATGGAAGTAAGGTGGAGATGTACCATTTATGGATGGCATTCAACAGGCATTTAACTCTCCATACTTGATCAGATACGAGTTTGTACTAACTTCTGGCCACTGCAAAAAGACGTTTCTCTGATCAAAACTGGCAACAGCATTAACATTTGAACATTTAGAAAGCAATTTGACAGGCACATCATATACATCTAGAAAAACAAAAAGAAAGAAAGCAGAAGCTTCTCCAGTAGGGTCTATGACCTCATCAGACACAGGTTTTTTTATTGAGTTTACAGTACCAGACTTGAATTCCTTCCTGTGGAATAGACATCAGATCCAACCAGAAAGTGGTTAGTTATACCTATAACAGATTGACACTACTGCACCAGCAGGCTCGTTCTGCCTGTTGAGTATCATTGTATACAGGTCCACAGATGAGTAAGACTGTTAATGACAATTGTCCCCATGTAGCCTGCATAGCATCTTCTGGCACTAAGAGGCTATCCAGCAGGAAGAACTTTTCCAGCCTCATGGGCAACCAACAGAAGTAGTAATTGCCTATATTGCTTTGGGAGGCAAAGGGATCTTCCTTACCAATAACACACAGTAAGGTACCTTGTACCTGAAAGATTTTTATATGATAACTTATGGTTTGGGTCTGGAGAGATGGCCCAGCACTTAAGAGCACTGGCTGCTGTTACAGAGAACCCAGGTTTGAATTCCAGATTATGACCACATGGCTGGTCATGACCATCTAAACTCCAGTCCCAGAGGATCTGGTGCCCTCTTCTGGCCCCACTGGGCACCATACACACATGTGGTACACAGGCAAAACACTCATACACATAAAATAATAACCTATGGCTTCTAGTACCCACATTCAAACTCCTTTGGGTTTTTATTTTATATTTTTGTTTACCTATCAAGTATCAGATTTCCTCATGACTTTTTCACACATTGTTATGTTTGATCCACATTCCCTACCACCTCCTCCCCCATCTCCCTACCCCACCTTCCCTATGTCAAGCTCTCCTGCCCAACATTCCACTTTTCAGTGACACATGGTTCCACTACTCCCTCTCACCTTAGAGTCTTCTCTTCCCTTTCTACTTTCCTAGAATCTACCCACTTTTATTCCCATATAAAAATACACACATAAAAGAGAGAGAACATGTGGCATTTATTTTCTTCTGAGCATGGATTATACTTAATACTTTAGAATTCCATCCATTTTCCTGCAAATTCCTTACAACGGAATATAATTCTGTGTGTCTATGTGCATTTTTCACTATCCATTCATCAGTTGATTGACATCTAAAATGACCCCATGCCCTTGCTATTGTGAATAGAGCGGCAATGAGCTGCTACTGGACAGGCATTATCTAGTAGGATAGCGACAGTGGAGGCATACGCCTAGGAGTGGTATAGCTGGATCATGTGGAAGTTGCACTGTTAGTTTTATTTTTGAGAAACCTCAACGTCGAGTTCCATAGGAGCCATTCCAGTTCACAGTCCCAGGAGCAGTGTACAAGGGCTCTCCTTTCTTCATTTCCTCACCGACGTTTGTCGTCATTTGTTTTCTCAGTGACAGCCATTGTGTCTGGGGTGAGCTAGGACCTCAAAGTAGTTTGCTTAAGATGTATGTTTATTTATGTGTATGAATCTCTCTCTCTCTCTCTCTCTCTCTCTCTCTCTCTCTCTCTCTCTCTCTCTCTCTCTCTCTCTCTGTGTGTGTGTGTGTGTGTGTGTGTGTGTGTGTGTGTGTGTGTGTGTGTGTATATGTGTGTGTGTGTGTGTGTGTGTGTGTGTGTGTGTGTGTGTGTGTGTGTGTGTCTGCCTGCAGTGACCTGAAGAGGATATCAGGTCCCCTAGATCTAGTGTGAGTGGGTGATTGTAAGCCAGGTGACAGGTTCTGGGAACCAAAGTGAAGTTCTTTGCAAGAGTAGCAAGTGTTCTTAGCCACTGAGCCATCTCTCCAGCCTACCCTCCCCACCGAAAGTAGTTTTAATTTGCATTTCTCTGATGGGTAAGGACACTGAACATATTTTAAGACATTTACTAATCATAGTATTATTTTGAGAGCCCTGTTCAGTTCCTTAGCACATCTGATTAGGTTATTTTCTTCTTGTTTCATATTTTGAGTTAAATTCTATATATTCTGTATATATTTGTATATTCTGTGTACTAATACTCTGTCAGATGTACAGTTGGCAAAGATTTCCTCTAATTCTGGAGGGTATCTCTCCAATTAACAGTCCCCATTACTGTAAAGAAGCTTGTAGTTATATGGTTGTCAACATTGTCCATCATTGGCCATATTTCCTGAGCTACTACAGTCCTAATCAGAAAACTTCTGCCTATGTGTATGTCTTGAAGTGTTCTCCCTACTCATTGCTCCAGCAGTTTCAGAATTTCAGATGTCTTATATTAAAGTTTTTAACCAACTTAGGGTTGATTTTTATGCAGGGTAAGAGCTAAGTTCCCCAGCAACATTTGTTTGAGATAACTGGCTTTTCTCACGTGCATATTTATTTCCAGGAAAGGTGCAAAGCTACACAGAGAAACCCTGTCTCGAAAAACCAAAAAAAAAAAAAATCATGTGACTGAAGCTGCCTATCCTTACATTTGGGACTTCCATTCTATTCCACTGCTCTACATTTCTGTTTGAGTGTCCATATCATGCAGTTTTTGTTACTATGGCTCTGTAGAATAACTTTAAATCATGCATAGTGATGCCTCTAGCAGTGTTCCTTTTGTTCAGGATTCTTTTTTCCTATCCTTGCTTTTGGGGCTTCCACATGATTTTTAAGATGATTTTTCTGTTTCTGTAAACTATGGCAATGGATATTTGATGGGGATTTCACTGAATCTGTAGACTGGTTTTGGTAGGATGGCCATTTTCACAATGCTAATTCTTCCAACCCACGAGCATGGGAGGTCTTTCCATCTTCTTGTGTCTTCATCCATTTCCCTCTTGGGGATTTTAAAATCGCTGTTATAAAAGTCTTTAACTTCTTTGTGTTTATTCCAAC